TCAGACAGAGACTCAGAGTCCCTTGCCAGTCCTGGGGCTGCTGGGCCTCCCTAGAGCTGGGCAGAGGCCAGAAGCAGCTGTATCCAGGGACAAAGGGACCTGGGATGGAGGAATGAGGAGGGCTAAGGGCAGCCCTCCTTTTGGAACCCCCAGCTCTGCCCCCCTTTATTGTTCATTTTAACCTTAATTAGGAAAGAAAATTCCAGAAACTTTAGCCAGGAAACATCGCTGGGATAGGTTTAGGAGATGCCTTAGAGGTAACATCGCAGGATTGCTGGTAAGATGGTTTGTGGGTAAAAGTGCTTTTTACCCCGTGCAAACCCGAGGTCAATCCTCAGAACCATGGAAGAAAGAGAACCAACTAATAAAAGTTGCCCTCTGACCCCAACATGTGCCCCATGGCTAACATGCACCAACACACCATTTTTTAAAAGAAAAATTGCAGGGGTGTTGTATGACGCAGTGGCTTTGGCAATAACAGACTTGGCTTCAGTCATTCTCCAGTTTAAAGGCTAAGGGGGTTGAGAGGGAGCTCAGGGAACCAGCTGTGGTTGTGGTCTGTTTCCACCTTCTGAGGTTGGTAGGTGTGAGTAGCAGCTTGTGCCCTGGGACTGGGGGACCCTGAGAGCTGTGCCTGCACCTGGAGGGGACTTGTTACACTGGTGTCATATTAAAGAAAAAAGTCTTCCATCTGTCCTGTATCTGTGGTCTGTCTGACCCTGGCAAAGGGCTTTGCTCTGTACTGATTGAACAGAACAGAAAACATCGCATGTGAAAGGAATGAGGACTCTCTTGTCTTATTGACCAGCACTTACAATGGAAGACATGGCTTTCTTGACCCAGAACAGCACTCACACACACAGTCAGATGATACTGTCTATAGCCATGTGCTGCACCCAACTTTAATGGGATATTTGGTTGTTTTTTTTTGTTTTGTTTTGTTTTTTGGTTTTTCGAGACAGGGTTTCTCTGTGTAGCTTTGCGCCTCTTCTGGAACTCACTTGGTAGCCCAGGCTGGCCTCGAACTCACAGAGATCCGCCTGGCTCTGCCTCCCGAGTGCTGGGATTAAAGGCGTGCGCCACCACCGCCCGGCTTTTGTTTTGTTTTTGGTTCCAGACAGGGTTTCTCTGGCTGTAGCCCTGGTTGTCTTAGAATTCACCCTGTAAACAAGGCTGGCCTCCAAGATGTGTACCACTACCGCCCGGCAGGATATTTGTATTTTAGATTTATTCTTTTTTGGGGGGTGGGTGGGGGCAGGGTCTCACTATGTGGCTCTGACTGTCCTGGAACCAGCTCTATAGACCAGGCTGGACTCAAACTCACAGAGATCCACTGTGGTGATATTATGCTCCCCAAAATATTGTGCACCCTAATAAACTTATCTGGGGTCAGAGAACAGAACAGCCACTAGATATAGAGGCCAGAAAATGGTGGCACACATGCCTTTAATCCTAGCATTGCAGAGGCAGAGATCCCTCTCGATCTCTGTGAGTTCAAAGCCACATTGGAAACAGCCAGGCATGGTGACTCACGCCTTTAATCCCAGGAAGTGATGGCAGGAAGCAGAAAGGTATTTTAGGGTGAGGATGAGGAACTAGAGCCTGGTTAAGCTTTTAGGCTTTTGAGCAACAGTTCAGCTGAGATTCATTCTGAATGAGGACCGAGAAGCTTCCAGTCTGAGGAAACAGGATCAGCTGAGGAATTGGTAAGATACTTGCTACATCCCACCTGCCTCTCCAACTGCTGGGATTGAAGTTGTATGCTACCATGCCCTGTGGGTATTTGTTTTTTGAGGCTGCTTTCCACCTGTTGGTTGCAACACACACACACACACACACACACACACACACACACACACACACACACACACACACTATTCTGGGCCTGGGCATGGAAGAGTACATAATTTAAGATTAAAGCTATGTATTTAGTTTAGCTTAGTGTAAAGCTGATTGCATGGGGTATTCAAGTACAGCACGGTCAGTTACATTGCTTTCAAGGTGGGTTAAAGGAAACAGGCTGAGTACACAGTAGGGAAACAGTGTTTTATTATTTTTAATTTTTTTGAGTTTTTTTTCAAGACAGGGTTTTTCTGCATATCCCTGGCTGTCCTGGAAATTGCTTTGTAGACCAGGCTGGCCTCTGCCTCCAGAGCTCTGGGATTAAAGGCATGCACCATTACCATCACCTGATTAAGAATGTGTTTATTTTTGTTATATGTGTATGAGTCTTTGCCTGAATATCTGTGTACTGTGTGTGTGTGCAGGCAGTGCCCTCTGAAGCCAGAAGAGGGAGTCAGATTCCCTCTGACACTGGAGTTACAGGTTGTAAGCCACTGTGTACACACAAGAAATCAAACCCTGATCCTCTGGGGAAGCAGCTAGTGCTCTTAACCACCGAGCCATCACTCCAGCCCCTGTGGGTGCATAGTTTTAGATGATCTCAAAGCATATTATTAACTTGGTTGCAAGGTCTAGCAAAAGTTCACCTTCTGAAGACAAGACGTAGTTTTTTTTTTGTTTGTTTTTGTTTTTCGAGACAGGGTTTCTCTGTGTAGCTTTGCGCCTTTCCTGGAACTCACTTGGTAGCCCAGGCTGGCCTCGAACTCACAGAGATCCGCCTGGCTCTGTCTCCCGAGTGCTGGGATTAAAGGTGTGCGCCACCACCGCCCGGCAACAAGACGTATTTTTTAAAAAGGCTATTACAGATGGATGGCGGTGGCACATGCCTTTAATCCAAGCACTCAGGAGGCAGAGGCAGGCTCATCTCTGAGTTTGAGGCCAGCTAGGTCATCTCTGGCCCTCACTCTGTACTGCTGAGTGTGCCACTTTTCTCAGCCTCAGTTTCCCCAGCTGTAAGCTAGGTGTCCTTTCCTCACCTAAGCTCTGCAGGTGTCAGAACAGCCAAGCCTTAGTGTTTGACTTTGTAGACCTGGCTGGCCTCAAACTCACCAACATCGGTCTGCCTCTGCCTCCCAAGTGCTGGGATTAAAGGTGTGCACCACCAGGCCCAGCTTTATTTTTATTATGTGTCTGAGTATTTGCCTGAAGGTATGTGTGCACCATGTGCATGTATGTAGTGCCTTTGGAGGCTAGAAGAGGGCATTAGATCCCTTAAAACTGAAGTTGTGAGCCACCGTGTGAATGCTGGGACTCAAACCTGGGTCCTCCTGTGGTCCAGCCAGTGCACTTAACTGCTGAGCATTTTCTCATTTGTAGACTGTGTGGTCAAGGGCATTTTGTGCATGTGTTTTTTCTTTTACATTTATTTGTTGTGTATGTGTACCATGGTGCACGTGTGGAGTTCAAAGAACCACAAATAAAGGCATCAGGCATATGTATGTGATGCATAGACATACATGCAGGCAAAACATCCTTACACATAAAATATTAAAGAGCCAGGTATGGTGGTGCACACTTTCAATCCCAGCACTCGGGAGGCAGAGGCAGGTGGATCTCTGTGTTCAAGGCCAGCCTGGTTTGCAGAGTGAGTTCCAGGACAGCCAGGGCTGTTACATAGAGAAACCCTGTCTCAAAAAAACCAAAAACCGCCGGGCGGTGGTGGCACACGCCTTTAATCCCAGCACTCGGGAGGCAGAGCCAGGCGGATCTCTGTGAGTTCGAGGCCAGCCTGGACTACCAAGTGAGTTCCAGGACAGGCGCAAAGCTACACAGAGAAACCCTGTCTCGAAAAACCAAAAAAAAAAAAAAAAAAAAAAAAAAAAAACAAAAACCAAAACAAGCAAAAAACAAAAACCCCCAATAATAATAACAACAACAATAATAATAAACACTTTAGTTGGTGCCTGTCAGAGGGGCCCAGATAATCGGAGGAGCCAGGGAATGGGCTGAGCTTAGGCTAGGCCCTCTGCTTAGGCTTGGCCCACTCTTTGAACTGTTACCCAAATCAGCCTATTTGGACCACTGGGCATACTGGGAAGGCTCACAGCACATGGCTATGTAGATCCTTGCTTTTGATAGATGGTCCCCACCCTTCAAGTGTGGCTATGACACTGACTTCTGTAGAGGACAGCATAGGGTGGACTTCACAGTGGAGGCCCTGGAAGACACTGCCGCAGCCAGAGGCCCGTCACTGTAGATTGTAGGACCCAAGTCATGTCGATGAAGTGACGCAATGACACTTGACCTGAGCCCTCCTAACACGTGACTCCAGCTTATTCACAAGGAAATTCCACAAGGGCTCTGGAGGGCATACTTCCCAGTGTGCCCCTAAACCAGTAAGGGCACCAAAAGTGGCTTCCTGTGAAGCTGTTCCAGCCTCGAAATGCTGAAAGCAACAGGACTTTAAAATGTCACTTGGGGCTGGGCGTCGGTGGTGCACGCCTTTAATCCCAGCACTTGGGAGGCAGAGGCAGGCGGATCTCTCTGAGTTCGAGGCCAGCCTGGATTACAGAGCGAGATCCAGGAAAGGCGCAAAGCTACACAGAGAAGCTACCCTCTCCCCCCCGCTTTTTTAAAAGTATTTATCTTTATTATTTTAAAGTGTGTTTATGTATACATGTGTGCCAATGCCCAAGGAAGACAGAGGTGTCTGGCACCCTGGAGCTGGAGTTACGGGTGATTTTGAGCCACTGTATGTGGGTAGTGGGAACTGAACTCAGGTCCTCTGCAAGAACAGTAAATGGACTTCACCTGAGCCATCTCTCCAGCCCCTTCCTTCCTTTTCTCCCTTTTTTGTTTTTCGGAGACAGGGAGGGTCTCACATAGCCCAGGTTGGCCTCCTCTCCCTATGTAGTCCAGGATGATCTTAAACCCCTGACCCCTCAGTGATGGGATTAGAGGCAGATGTGAGCACCAACCAGCATGCTAGGCTCTAGCTTTCTTCTCTGCTGGGACTTTCCCAACTTTTAAGATGCCCATGAGCTCTGTGTGATCACGAGGGCCTGGTTTTGCTTGCTTTCCAGGCTTCAGAGCCGGGGTTTATTGCTGAAAAGCATACATGATGCGTGCACATTTGTAACGAAGGCTCTTTCCAACAGGGCCTAGCAGATGCTTCGAAGATTCTGGAGAAGTCGAGTGACATGCAACTTCACGGAGGTCTGTAGTGCTAGTTTTCTTGGTATTTAAAATATACTTATGCCGGGCGGTGGTGGCGCACGCCTTTAATCCCAGCACTCGGGAGGCAGAGGCAGGCGGATCGCTGTGAGTTCGAGGCCAGCCTGGGCTACCAAGTGAGTCCCAGGAAAGGCGCAAAGCTACACAGAGAAACCCTGTCTCGAAAAACCAAAAAAAAAAAAAATAAAAAAAAATAAAATATACTTATTTGTATTTGGGTGGGTTGCCTGAATGTCTGTGCGCCAGAAGGGGGCGCCAGATCCTCCAGAGCTGGAGTTACAAACGGGGTTGTGAGCCATTAGTTGGGTGCTGGGAGCTGAACCTGGGTCCTCTGAAAGAGCAAGTGCTCTTAACCACTGACGCAACTCTCCAGGCCCATTTCTAGCATTTTTACATTTTATTTTGAAGCTTTAGAGAGGGTCTCATGTATCCAGGATGGCTCTCTTCCTCTGTGGAATGTACGGTCTCTTGTTCTCTCCTGACGCTCTCCCCCGCCCCCCAACCCTGTTTTCACCCACCATGTACCCCCAACCATAGGTTTTTGTTGTTTTTAAAGGAAGGGCTCATGTAACCCAGGCTGGCCTCTTGCTATATAGTCAAGGATGACCTTGAACTTCTAATCTGAATGCTGGGTTTTCAAGCTTGTGTCACCACTCCAGTTTTATAGGTGTTGGGGACTGAGTCCAGGGTCTAATGTGTGCTAAGTAAGCACTGGATGAACTGAGCTATATATGTCCACAGTCCTCACTTTGTTTTTTGATGGTCTTGCTATGTGTCCCAAGCTGGCCTTGAACTTCTGTGTAGCCCAGGCTGGTGTTGAACTCACGTTCCTCTTGCTTTGGTTACTTCATATTCCCAGAGAATCAAGAAGGTGGGCCTGGGCTCCAGGGTAGGGCTGGTTGTTTGAGAAACAAGGCTCCCTTCCTCTCCTCTGTGGCCTGCCTTCCCTGTTCCAGACCCTCTGACCGGGCTGTGTTCTCTAACTTGGTATTTTCAGTTAAGTGAAAGTCTGTGTGCCTGGCCTTGAGGGATGGCCAGCCTGAGGCCCAGCCGACCCACCTGCATCAGGGCAGCGTTCAGTGCAGCTGGCTTCCGGAAGTGGCAGAGACATGCTCGCCATCGTCTTCAGGTGCCCTCCCGTTCAGCAAGGGCCGGGGGTGGTGTTGGGGGTTGGTGCCATCCCTTCAAGTCTTGGCTCCCTTCCTCCCTTTCCAAAAGGAAAAGTATTCAAATCCTAGTGTTCTTTGATCAAGAGAACGAAAGCTGCCTTCCTCAGCGGCCTGGGGCTAGTGGAAAAGAGCTGGACTACCAGAGGCCAGGCCTGGGTTCCTCTCTGAGCTTTCTCAGCCTCACTGCTTCTGCATGTGTGCGGAGACCAGTCGGGAAGGAAGATGCAGTGCCCTCCACCTCCTTCCAGCTTTGGGCCCAGAACCAGTGTCAGAGTGCTGTAGGGCCCACCGTGCCCAAGAAGGGCTCCCCTCCTTACCAGGGCGAGTGTCAGCATGTCCTGTGGTGTGGGCAGCGAGCACCCCAAGTGCCCCACGTGTTAAGCTGCCATGACAGAATGGGCATCAAGCCTTTCCTCACAGGTCAACTCCAGAAGGAACCTCATGGACTTTGCTGAAGGCATCTGGAGAGAGGTATGCTTCAGACCGGGCCGAGGCCCGAGGGTCCAGAGACCTGGGGAGCCCTCCAAAGCCAAGGCCAGCCCGGTGAGAGGGCTGTGAGGGTCAGAGTCCAAGCAGGGAATGTTTCCCCCTGTGCAGACAGCACTGCACCTAGGGAGTCTGGGGAGGGAACTAGAGGAGGATGTCTCACTACATAGCCCAGGCCAGTCTCAAGTCAGGCCAGGCCTCCTGACTCTCCTACCCTGTGAGTGCTCGGGCGACAGGCAGTGCCACCACAAGACAGGAACAGATACTGACAAAACATGCTCACAGAAAGCAAGAAAGGACAGACAGGAAGTCGGGGACTCCCCAAAGGCCCTGCCAAGCACCCTAAGAGGATTAAGCACTGTTTTTGGTGACGCACCCCTTTAATCCCAGCACTCGGGAGGCAGAGGCAGGCGGATCTCTGTGAATCTGAGGTCAGCCTGCTCTACAGAGCGAGATGCAGGGCAGCCAGGGCTACACAGAGAAACCCTGTCTTGAAAAACCACAAAAAAGTTTTCCACTGGGCAGGGTGGCACACACACTTAAGTCTCAGCACCTTGGAGGCTGAGGCAGGAGGATGAGAAGTTGAGGGCTAGCCAGGGCTACACGAGACCCTGCCTTTAATTATTTATTCATTTACTACTTTGTTTTTTTGGGACGGGGTTTCTCATTGTGTAGCCCTGAAGGCTAGCTGGGGCTACATGAGACCCTGTCTTTTGTTTTATTTATCTTTTTGGTTTTTTGGGACAGGGTTTCTCTGTGTAGCTTTGGCTGTCCTGTAACTCACTCTGTAGACCAGGCTGGCCTTAGAGATCCACCTGCCTCTGCCTCCTGAGTGCTGGGATTGAAGATAGGCACCACCAAGTCCAGTAAGACCCTGTCTTTTAATGTTTGAAATGCTCTATTTCTGTATGTACGAGTGTTCGGCTTATATGTATGCAGTGCCGAGGTGGTCAGGGGAGGGGCTGGAGTTCTAGATGGTTGTGAGCAGCCATGTGGGTGTTAGAAACTGAACAGCTGACCCTGCTCTCCAGCCCTGAGACCAGGTCTTTTTTTTTTTTTTTTTTTTTTTTTTTTTTGGTTTTTCGAGACAGGGTTTCTCTGTGTAGCTTTGTGCCTTTCCTGGAACTCACTTGGTAGTCCAGGCTGGCCTCGAACTCACAGAGATCCGCCTGGCTCTGCCTCCCGAGTGCTGGGATTAAAGGCGTGCGCCACCACCGCCCGGCGCAGGTCTTAAACAAGCAAAACAAACCAGGTGTGGTGGCACATGCCTTTGATCCCAGTAATTAGGAGGCAGAGTCAGGAGGATCTCTGTGAGTTTGAGGACAGCTTGGTGTATATACATAGCTCCAGGCTGGCCAACATTACATAGTGAGATCATCCTAACAACAACAACAACAACAATAATACAGCCCCTACCACCACCATCCGGGGATGTAACTTAGTAGAGTGCTTGCCAAGCATTTATGAGGCTCTGGGTTTGATCTCCAGAATGATCCCTCGATGAGGAGGTGAAGGCAAGAGAATCAGAAGTTCAGGGTCATCTGGCTACATGGTTAGTTGCAGGCCAATGTTGGCTATGAGACCCTCTCTTTACAAAAGGAAAAGTTTAGATGCACAGCAAGTCACACCCACTTGCCACCTGCCATCATAGTGATGGGGACATCTTTTTTGCCTCTGTGTTACACGCTACCCTGCTAGGACTATTCACTGGCTCAGAAACTTTTCAGTTCTGTGGTGATGGGAATTGAGTCTCAGGCCCTCACACACAGCCATGCCCTCAAAAACCTTGTCATCAGTTTTTAGATCCTTATGATGGTGACTCAGAAGATACCCCAGTTCATTCCACCTACTGCAACTCCCGCCAGCGTGCCTACCGCCTCCTGGGTGACAGGAACCGCAACGCACCTTCCTACACACTGAGGTTCAAGATTGGTGAGGAGGCCAGTGTGGAAGACTCGCTCCCGCCAAAGGCTCCAGATCTCACCATGAAAACTTCCGGCTGGACCCCCATAGCCCTGGAAGTCAATGATGTCGACATGCAGCCTGAGGGGGAACTAAAGGCACTCAGCCCCCAGGAAGTCCGGGGGTGGCCTGCCAGGCTGTCTCCATCACCCGAGGACTGGAGGATGGCAAGGGCTGCCAGCCCCCTCAATCCTGTGGAGACCCCCGAGATGAGCAGACACCTGCCCGGCAGAGCCAGAGCAACACGGCCACCTCCCCGACTTGGGGGTGAGAGAGACAAGGGGCCCAGGCTGGTGCTGTCCAAGAGGAAGCTGGAGCTTTTACTTTCGGAGCCTGAGAGAACTAAGAGAAAGAAGAAGTACGTGGCCCACTCAGCCCAGGCCGGGTTAGCGCAGGATAGGGGCATGGGGCCAGCACAGAGCCAGGATCACTCCAAACCAATAGTGATGGGCGGTAAACGGGGCTCTACCGTCTGGCTTAGAACTGGGTGTGCAGGCCTGGGGAGATGGCTCAGGGGGTCAGGGCGAGTTCAGTCCCCAGGACCCAGAGGGTGGAAGGAGAAAACCATCTTCTGCTAATGGTTCTCTCAAAACCACACAGGAACACATGTGCTTGTGCACGTGTGTGTATACACACACACACACACACACACACACACACACACACTGGGCATCCTAGACCCCAGGATCTTGTTCCATAGCCCCGGCGACCTTCCTGCCTTAGTCTCCTGAATGCTGGATTGCAGGCTGAGGCAGGGGGCAGGGCGGCTCCCTCCCCGTTCCGAGTGTGTTCACAAGTGTGTGTGCACATGCTCATCAAGCCCTCCGGGCCACCTGGAGCAGGGTTTCTTAGCTCGGGCTCAGCCTGCTAGGACACTGGGCTCACTGGGGGTGCTGTGTCCCCCGTTCCACTTTGGCCAGCTTGTTCACTGTCCTTTTCTCTGTCCGGTAGGTAGTGAGAGCTGAGCGCGAGCCTGGTGCAGCCGCTGGAGGATCAGGCCCCATCTCCTCTCCAATCTAGTGTCATCCCCATGGCGGCAGGACAAAGACTGCAAGGTTCCCAAGTGCAAATAAAAAAGGCACCACAAGGAGGTGCCTTTTCTTGGCAGGGCAAGGTCCACCTTGGGGTGCTGTTGGGACCATGCCAGCATTAGTTAGGGGGTAGGGTCTTGCTCACCAGTGCCCCAGCTAGCTCCGCCAGGGAGTAGGGCTGGTGGTGCCTGTCTAGCATGCTGACTCTTCTGATTGTTGGACGGGGGAGGGTACTCCCTGGGGAGGAGGTGCTCCCAAGACAAGAAGTCCACTTATGGGGCTGGAGCAAGCCTAGTGTCCCCTGCAGTCCCCCAGAGACTCAGGCAACAAGGAGAGCCCGCAGGAGCTGCTGTGGGCTCTGTAGGACAGTCCCTAGGTGTTCCTCGGTGGACAATGTCGGCTGGTCACTCAGGAGTCCTTACAGCCGGGACAGCAGCCTCTGCCACCAAGTGCCACCCTCCCAGTTACTGTGGAGACAGACGCTGGGAGCAGATTAACTGTCACCCTTACTGGAGGCCAAGGCCACCGTCTCACCATGCCGGAGTGGTATGGAAATGAAGTGTGGGAGAACGGGACTGATAGCGGGGCTGTTTGAGACACAGAAGGTCCCTGGGGGATGGAGGTACCTGCCAGCCAGGCCTTAGTGTTTCAGTCAAGAACACAGCTGCTGCCAGGCCTCGGGGATGGAGGGCAGCTTTCCTGGCCTCACTGGCTGCTTCTGTACCCGTGACCATGGCGACAAAGGTGAGCTGGCGTGCAGCTGGCGAGAGCTGCCCCAGGGGAGACGCGAGGGTTCCCACACCAGGCGGAGCAACCACAAGAGGCGGCAAGCCTGTCATGCTTAGTGTTTTATAATAAAACAAGCCGTTCCATCAGCCATCTAAAAACAACACACTTTCAGCTTTCCGTTCCCAACCACAGCACCACCTCTCACTTTCTCCAGCGCAGACCAACCACTTTGTTTTCACAAGTCCATCACACTTCCCAAACGTTTAAGGATGAATGAATGTTAAATACTGGATTTTAGTATTCCAGAAAGGGGATCCGAGAAAAGTCCAGCTTTACTCTGTGCACAGAACCGCAACCCCACGCTCGTAGAAGCTTCGAGGGTCTTCCTTTGTAGCAATTTCAAAGTCCACGGTGAAGATAAGGTCCGCCCGCGTGAAGTTCAGGTAGACAGGCAAGGTCACCTGTGGGACAGACAGACAGACGGGCTTGCTGGGATTCACTCTGTAGACAGGAGGCTCCTGCAGGGGTCCAGGGCTGTGGGGAAGTTGGTGCCAGGCAGGTAGCCCCAGGCGTGGCCCAGGCACGCAGCAAGGGAAGCTGGTACTCACCACGTTAGCCTTCTTCTCGGTATTGGTCTGCTTCACCCAGCGTAGCTGCGTGAGCGGGAGGACTGTGGAGATGGCGTTGGAGAGTGACAGCTTGTTGTTGCTGCATGTGGCCCCTTGAAGTTTCAGACCTGTGAGGAGACAAGGGTCAGCAGGGCTGTGCTGCCTGGCCCTTCACCACACATCTGGAGAAGGAAGGGCCACACTGAATGGCTGGCTGGCACCCAGACTCTGGCTCACCCGTGACCCCAAAGCTGCAGGCATCAAGGGAGGCACTCTGTGAGGCGGTGACATTGACTTCCAGGCAGAGCTCCTCCAGGGACCAGCTGTTGGCTTGTGCTACGTACTGTCTGGTGGCAGTGATGTAGGCCTCGGGCACAAACAGGCCCCCCAGGCACACATGGATGTTCTGGAGAAAGAGCAGCCCCGGGGGAAGGAGAGCAGGTCAGGCACAGACCATCCTGAAGGACACTTTCCCACCCCAGTCCGGGACCACAGGTGCTCCCGACTTCTCGGGTCATGCTCACCCACCTTCAGCTCCTTGGCGCCCCCGGACGCGGCGGCCTGTGAGATGCTCTGCAGCTGTTTGACCCTCTCACTGAAGTCCGACACCCACTGGATCACCGTCATGCCCGCAGGCACCGTGTAATGCGACCAGCTCCGAGGCAGGATCCCTGCGGCAAGGAGCGGAGACCCGGGGTTGGCAGCCGCTCTGCCAACTCCTAGGCACCTGCTTACCGTAGCCCTCCTCCCTGGCTGCACCTGGTACCCTGTCCACACCCAGAAGGCCCAGGCAGGTCTGTCAGTGGGGTTTCTGGGGTCAGAGTAGTGTGGGGCACACTCTGTCCTTGGACGGGGACCTCCTGCCCCGCTCCTGCTTGTTTTGGGTCCCTTCACTGCATCACCCTTCAAAGTCTCAGACGCCGCACAAAAACTTCAGCAGAGTCCAGGGAAAACCAGGGGCATTTCCAAGACGCTCCCCACCCGAGCCACCCTGGTGAAGTCTGAAAAGCTGCATGGGAGGCTTGGGGCTTCGGGGCGTCTATCCACCCTGCGCCTCTCAGCACCTTTCACCAGCTCGTTGATGAGTGTGCGCAGATAGTTGGTCTGCTTCTTTTTCCCCTCGCACACTTGGACCACATCAGCAAGGTCCTGGCGCACATCTTGGAGTAACTTGGCTCCCATTTTCACTTCTCTCTCAAAGAACCTAAACAGAGGATCCTAAAACCCAAGAGAAAGAGGCTGAAGACAGGGAAATCTGTGTCCAGAAGCAAGTCAGCCTTAAGGGGGCCCCAGCCATGCCCCCGTTTCCGATACAGAATGAATTCTGCCCCTAACTTTCAGATCATGGACAGTTCTAAGACAGTTGAAATTAAAAGTGGTCATTCCAGCTGGGCGGTGGAGGCAGAGGCAGGCGGATCTCTGGGAGTTCGAGGCCAGCCTGGGCTACAGAGTAAGTTCCAGGAAAGGTGCAAAGCTACACAGAGAAACCCTGTCTTGAAAAACAAAACAAAAAAAAAGGTCATTCCTCTTGCTCAAGGTTGGGGATTAGCACTCTATTAAGACAACACTGAGGCTCCAGCCAGCTACCTTGATGTTCTCCACAGTGCGCTTAAGTGGGCTCAGCGTCTGTGGGATGAGGTGCAGCCAGTTAGATGCTGTGGTGTGCAGCGTCCTCATCCAGGCTGGACGCCCATCGGATGTGGAGTCCGCCCTTGTCTTCTTCTCCGTCTCTGCATAGGCCAGGTCATCCTCATCCTCCAGCATCTGCATCTTCAGCATCTTACTGATCATGTCCACACCTGGGCAGTCACGGGTGGGAGGCAGACGACGACAACATCAACCTCAAGGCCACTAAGTCACCACAGCAGCCTACTGGACTGTACTCTGTGCTACACATGATCTACAGCACAGACCAGGGCCCGGTGAAGAGGGTCAACAGAAGGAAATGGCCCACGTCAATCACGGGCGTGCCCCACACTGTCGCTCCAGTATGTCCATACGGCTGTGGCCTCAGAAGCATGGACTCAATCTGCTGTGGGGACGCCTGAGATGGCAGTTGGGATTCCTCTGAACTCTGCCCCCACCAACCACGCCCAGATCCAGCTGTGCCTGAAGACACAATGGTGCCTGGCCTGTCCCTCCCCCATGGAGACTGAAGGCTAGACTGCTGAGCTTCCCTGCTTTCTGGGCTGGGAAGGCTGAGAAGACAGGCAGTGACCACGAGGCACCAGGTTCTTGGCGGTGCTGACGGGGACACAGGACTGAGTCCTGGTGTCACTTGCCCCAGTGACTTTCTGACAGTCATAAAATGAAGGATGGCCTCTGTACTGGAGAGCCTGTACCTAACCTGCTTAGCTTCCAGGTCTCAAATACTCGTTGTCAAATGCTCACTACCTACTCTCCATGGGTAACGGTCCCCATCTCACCAAGGTGGCCTCCGACATGTGAGACCTCAGAAACAGCAAGCTCCCAGAGAATGTTCTCTGCAGAAGGGCAGGGAGCTGGGAACCATCCATCCTGCCTCACCTGCTTCTGAGGCGTGCACCAGCCCTGCCCCTTCTCAGTCTCTTCACAGAAATCAGGCTGTGGCTACTCATCTGGGGAGTAGCTTTAGAATGGCTGACTAGCTGGCACTTGGACTCTATTTTAATGGCTCTCCTCTGGCTCAAGGTACTTCTCAGTAGTTCAGGGGAAAAGTCTTTTGTGTTTTTGAGACAGGGTTTCTCTGTGTATCCTCATCTGTCCTGGAACTTGCTCTGTAGACCAGGCTGGCTTTGAACTCACAGAGATCCATCTGCCTCTGCCTCCTGAGTGCTGGGATTAAAGGCGTGCGCCACCACTGCCTGGCCAAAGTCTTGTAAAGACAGAGTAACAACTGGGCATGGGGGCCCATGCCTCTAGTCCCAGCACATGGGAGACTGAGCAGTGAGTTCCAGGCTAGCCTGAACTACAGTAGGACTGTTTCAAAACAAACTCCAAACAATTAAAAAAAAAAAGGAGAGAAACTAGGAGTTCTTTGGCTTGTCTGAGTACAGGCTCGTGGCCACAGTATATGGAGGTCTGAGGATTGTGGGTTCTGAGGACAGAGCTAAGGTTATCAGGCACGTGCAGCAATCCCTTTTAACCACTGAGCCATCTCACCTGATGGTTTTAAAGAGGGCCTTAGGTTAGCCTAGAACTCTTGACCTTGTTGCCCTCACCATGTGGTTGCTAGGATACAGATGAGAGCCACGAAGCCTGGCTCTAAATGGTTGTTTTAGAACATCGTTGAAGGGGAGTGTCTGGGGCTCACTCACAGACCCTGCCTAACTTGTGTTAGGCTCTGGATTTTAGCCCCAAAGCTGCGAAAAGTAAAACAAAACAAAACTGACTTAACACAAGGTATGTTTTGCTGTCTGAGCCATGGTCTCATGCCCTAAGCCTAGGCATGCTGTGTAGACCAGATGCTAAACTCTTGATTTTTCTGCCTTTGCCTCCAGGCTAGGGCAGAGGTCTGGGTACCTACCACCAAGCCTCCTCAGTGCTTCCAACCTTGAACTAAAAGCACCCTTCTGCACCTTCCCACAGAGGTCGACAAGCCCTGCCCAGCAGGCTCGGTGGGCAGGGCTGCAGGAGTGAGGAGACTCACTACCCACCTTGAGTGGTGAGCAGGACCCTCTCGGCATTGTTGGGCAGGCCCAGCCAGGAGGGCGTCTGGGCGTCCGGCAGCAGCTCCACCCACTGCACAAACTCCTCGCGCCT